GAACACAACATGGGGCTCTGGCCCCGTTCCCCTCTCTGAAAGAATGCACGTAATAGGGAAGCGCCATCTGAATGTTGGACCAGGTGGTGTGAACCCTCACACAAGGAAAAGCAGAAGGAAATCCCAGCTCCCGATGTTGTATATGCTCGGAAAATATATGACGATGGATGCAAATGTGAATACAGATCACCGTCCTTGCCCAGAGGAAACTGCAGCAGGGCAGGAGCCCAGCTCCCCACCCTGGAGCCTCCTGGTTCAACGCTGGGCCCTTCTGCTGGGAAGACCAAGCCTGGTCCTGCTCACATGCTCCCTGGACAGTGGTTGGCACCCTACCCCTCTGCTGGACCAAGAGGAACACCTGTCTGTGAGAGATCGGAGCCGGATGCCGGAGTGGTCTTTCCCGGGAGTCAGCGGGGTGAGGGCAGGCTCCAGGCAGGGGTAGGGGCCCGGGGCAAGAAAGAGACCTACCATTGTGGAGCACCAACCATGCTGTGGGCATGGAGATGAGTGCCACATGTCATCTAGTCACATGTCACTGAGGTCACCTGAGACTCTGACAGTGGTAGTACCTGAACCCCAAGCAGGACAGTTTCCTCCCTCCATCCTTTTCCTGGGAGGTTGGCTTGAAACAGAAGAGCTAGAGACTTGTTATTACATACTCACATTGAAGCCTGCAATAAGAACAGTCAATGAAAAACATGCAAGAACAGACCCTACACCATTCTCTATACTTGAAGTAAGATTTCGTTCTGGCAACAAGGTAGACCAGCGTTACAGGCACAGCTCTAGGGCTCCATCCCAGAGATGGGACCTACGGCTGGCTCAGAGGCTGAGTGTGTGGCCAAAGGTTCACCATTCCGGAGGCTGGTCACAGCCTGCCCTTTCCCAGCACGTGTAGCCAACCAGTGAGTCCACAGGAAGGGACTGAGCATCCCAAGGACTAGATTTAACAACAAATGGGTGTGTGTGGTTGGTAGAGAGACAAGGTTTCAAGCCCCAAAGAGCTTTCAGTCCAAAAGGGGAGACAACATGAGCCAGTAAGTAATCCCCTCCTATAGCAATAACTTAATGGATACTTCCATGTGCCCAACTCTGCTCTACTTGCCTCACGTACTTGAACTCACTTAATTCTCACAACAGTGCTACCAGGCTGGTACTGTTACTATTCCCATGGTAAAGATGAGCAAACAGTTTAAAGAAATTCAATCAATGAGCCAAGTCACACAACTCATTAAGTAGCAGGGTTGGGACTCTGAGACCCATGCTTCCAGAGGGGGAAGGAGAATGAAGACCAGCCAACATCAAGACAGCCGGAACTCTGTGGCAAGAAGACTTTCATCATTTCCAAAAATAACTACATTTACAGAGGGTTTACATTTGAGATGTCTCGTCCTCATAAGATAGGAACATGCCCCATTTTGTAGATGAGGAAACTGAGTATCAGGGGAATGATACAGCTTGGAAAAACTACCATATCTAGTAGCTTGACAAAGTTGAGATTCCAACTTTGGTCAATCTGAAATCTCTCCACCAAGCCCCCTAGTGACTGACTTGGAGAACAAAGGGACACTGTGAGCCCTTCCAGGGTTCCATGATGTCTGGTTTCTTGGAGGTTTCTAGAGTTATAAGCATTTATACCCACTTATGGGTGAGGAAAGACTTCTCAAGAGTTAAGGTCTAAACATGGCAGCAGTCCAGAAGATAGGAGATGGTTACCAGTTATCTCCATGGCATTAAGTGCTAACTAGAGGGTTGTAACACCACTGGAATGCTCAGTCCAAGCTGCTAGCACCAAGGTCTTTTCTATATTCTTGGAAGCTGAGATTTTTAAGGCCTAGATGTAGTCAATACCCTGGTTCATGCCAAGTGTCCTAGTCACACTACCATTAGCAAGACTACCTTTGAGCCATATGGAATGTTGAAGACTTGGTGAACAGATCAGTTTGTTTTTCAATCAACTGATTGCCAAGTGAGTTCTAAGAAGTTGCAGAGATCAAGTTTTTGAGAAATCTTCTTGGAAGATCATAAGCTGAAAGGCTGCTATCATAGATACTGAATGTAAGTCATTACCCACTTGCTAATTGAGTCACCTGTCAGCTTAGTGTGGATTTTTGCATGCCCAGGTGCCCAACCCTTCTAGGAAAAGGGCTGGTTACCTGAAGTAACCTTGGTTGGAGGCACCAAAGGTCATCCTTGGAGTAAGTGGTATTTTAGAGGCTCTGAGGGTCGAAGCTGGCAGAATAAAATTGTTGGAAACCTCAAGGGTCACAGTCAGACACAAAGCAAGGGCACAAAGCAAAGGTAGGGAACATCTAGAGGGACCAAGGTAACTGTCACGCTCTCTTATAAGATTAGATTCACCTGTGTGTAGCAGACCATCTCAATTAACACACCAGGATTACGGAAGTTACAGAATTCACAGAAAGTGCAAGAGTGTGGTTTGTGTCTTTCTCATCTAGACCTTCCCATGTGGGTTGGTATGGCCAATCTGTTCCACAATGGTCTTAAGGACTATCTTAGGGTCAGTATGGCTGCAGTGACAAGCAAGCCCCCAGGTGTGAATGTCTTAACACAGTAAAAGCTGTTTCCCTGGTGATTTAACAATCCAGTGTAAGTGCTCCAGATCAGCAGGCATCTTTCCTCCACGTGGGTCTAGGCTCTTGTTAGCTTTAATAACTATTTGTTAGATAAATCTATTTAAGGAATGTATTCAGAGAACCGTGGACATGGATTCCTTCCATCTTGTGTTTCTGCCATTCCTCTGCAGATGGCCAGATGATGGAGAAAGTGCACAGAGGAGGGAGCCTGGACTCTAATGGGCCACATCTAGAATTCCATTCAAATTCCATTGGCTGGAAATTATTCTTTTTTTTAAAAGATCTATTTATTTATTTTTGAGGGGGGAGAGGGAGAGAGAGAATCTCAAGCAGACTTCCCACTGAGCACAGAGCCCGACACAGGGCTCGATCTCACAACCCTGAGATCATGACCTGAGACAAAATCAAGAGTCAGATGCTTAACCGACTGAGCTACCCAGGTGCCCCTGGCAGGAAATTATTCTAAGCTACAAGGGAGGTTGAGGAATCTAGTCCAGCTGTGTGCTCAAGAAGAAGAACAAATCACTCTGGTAAGCAGTCCTTGCTACAGGCACCCAGGATCCTTGTGGCTCCTTGCAGCTCAGTGGGACATCACCCTCAGGGTCTGGCCCTTGATCAAAAGTGACAGCCAGCACTGCTGCATTCTAGCTAGCAACCTGAAGAGCCAGGGAGCTAAATCTTTAGTAGAAGTCATCACTCCCTAAGTAATTAATCTCTTGGGTCAGTTTGCATTTTTTTTTTATCTATCAGACAAAGAAAGGAATGAAGTAAAACAGAGAAATAAGGGCAGGAGTCAGGTGTGTGTCTTAATTTCCTCATCTGTAAAACAGAGATGATGAGAACACTGGCTTCATAAGATTATGAGAAACAAAGGAGTTGATATATGTAAAATGCTTAAAGGCTCATACTCAGTGTTCAATAATAGAGAGCTATGGGAAGAGGAGAAGGGAGGGTGGGAGAAGGGAAAGAGGAGAAAGGAACGGTCCCTGAAGCAGAAGGTTCTCCAACGCATAAATTTACCCGGAGTTTCTGCTGGTTTCCCATTGGTCAGAACTCAGTCACATGGGCACAGAGCTACAAGGGAGGCTGGAAAATGTAGTTTTTATTCCAGAGACTCAGACACCTGGCTAAAAATCAGGGACTTTATTACTATGGAAGAAAAGGAGAACGGACATTGGGGGACAGCTAATAGTTTCTGCACGTTCACCAAGAGCTGGACAAAGGTTCGTTTTTCACAGCCACTTAGTTTCCAGGGAGCAATGAACCCCTGGGTTTCCACAACAGAATGGGGACCTGAGACAAAGTCTGTAGCCAGGACTGTGGAGTGAGGGGAGGCTGGGTGCCCAATCAGGGGCAGCCCTGAGGGCTACATCATGGCTGGGGCTACTCCTCCCTGGCTGGAGCTCTCTCCATGCATATGAGCACCATCTGTCCGGAGTATGCACGCAAACCAAGCCACCTCCAGGACTGAGGATGGGCCCTGTCTTCATCCATGCCTCAATCACTCCCTTTTGTTTCCTTGATCCTCCAGCCCCCAAAGACCCTCCAGTTTCCTTATTCCTGCCTAGGACCCCCACCCGAGGCCCCATTCATGCTTGCCTCCCCCTCTGTACTTAGGGTTATAGGTTGAACTGTGTCCCCCCGCCCTCAAATTCATATATTGAAGTCCTAACCCCAGTACCTGTGAATATGACCTTAATGGGAAATAGGGTCTTTGCAGATGTAATTAGTTAAGAGGAGGTCATATTGAAGCAGGGTCCCACCTTGGACCCTACTAGGTGGGACCCTACTTCAATATGACTTGTGTCCTTAGAAAAAAGGGAAATTGGGACACAGGGAGCGTGCCACGTGAATGTGAAGGCAGAGATCGGGGGATGTGTCTACAAGCCAAGGAATGCCAAAGATGGCCGTCGAAACGCCAGAAGGTAGGAGAAAGGCCTGGAACAGATTCCCTTCACAGCCCTCAGAAGGAACCAAACCAGCCAACACCTAGATCTTGGACTTCTAGTCTCCAGAACTGCAACAATAATTTCTGTTGTTTAAGTCCCCACCCCCGCCATCCCTGGGGCTATGGTACTTTGTTATGGCAGCCGGAGCAAGGAAATACACCTGCTCTGGCTCCAGCTTACCTTCAGGTCTCAAGTCAAGCTTTGCTCAGAGCTTCCAGACCCCGCCTCCTCAGCTGGTCCCAGCCCTCAGCTCCGCCCCCGCCTCTGCTCCCCCCCCCCCCCCGTTCCAGGCGCACCCCACTCACCACCCCTCAATCTGCCCATCTGCTTCCCCCTGCTGCCCCAGCTCTCTCCCACTGAAACCCTGGCCACCGCTGCCGACACCCTGGCGTGGATCACACGTTCCCTTTAAGAATCCTCCACCCACAAAACTGTTTACAGCCAGTGAGTGAGCATTTTAGGGGAAGCCAGAAACTCTCGCCTCCCCTTCGGCTTTATTTGTGCCATAAAATGAAATGGAGTTGAATACTTTCTGTATAATCTGATTAAGGTTGACAGTCACACTGCATAATTAGACTGTTTTTCTTTAGGGGGAGGGGTGGTGTATTTGCCAGAAAGAGCACCGCTCCTCTTGAGGATGCGTGGCTATGCCTGTCTGCGTCTGAGCCGTCAGGTTAACTCGGAACTTCGGACATATCTGGACCATCAATGGAAGAAGTTTCGATCCTTATTTACAAAACATTTTCTGGTAACTGAAATGAGAGAATCTCATGAGACAGAAACTTAGGAAACTAAACGGGATGACAAGCCGTGCAACTAGTCTGTCCCATATCCAAAAAGGAAGTCCGTTGCTGGAAAGCTCCCAGGCCACCCAAGCATGGGGACAGCCACCAGCTTCCCAGGACTGCCCCAGTTTCAAAAATTCACTTCCCTGAACACCCCAGGAGTTCTCATACCTATGTGTGTTAGTTTGAGGTTCAGAAAACATAGTCACCAGAGACCCAGGGCTCATGAAGGAAGCTCCCTGCTTACAGGAGGGGACAGTGGAAGGCAGGGTATTTGGGGGTGCTGACGGAGATCCGAGGAAGGCAGAGGGCAGTGATGCCACCTGGGGGGGAAATGCAGTCACAAGTCTCCCCCCCCCAAACTGGTCGGTAAACGCCATCTGGTTAAAATGAACAGCCAAAGCTGCCTTGAAATGGAAGAGAAGTCCCAAATGGATAACCCAAGAGAGGGCCTGCAGAGGACCATCGTGGGTCCCTAACTGCCCCACTCCCTATGCTGTAGGAGTGAGCCGCCCAGGTGTTGAGCTTTCTCTCTCAGCCTTAGCCTCCAGGGAGAACGGAGGTCAAAGGCAGCGCAGAAGGCCTGCCCAGGAGCCCTCAGCTGGCCTTGGAATTACGCGGGCAAGCCCCAAGCTTTCCTCGGGCCTGCTTCAGGGAGCGATGAGAGGCATTCTCCCTGAGCTAGTGCCGGCACCTCCGGATATGCCCCAGTCTGGGCTCCCCATGTCCCCCGAGTTCCACGGGTCCAGGGTTCATGGCAACATGGCAGTCGTACTCGGTGACCGGGAGCCACGGCTGGTGTTCAGGCAATGCTCCCATGAGAGGACAAGAGAGACAATGCCCCCTCCTCGGCACTGGCCGCAGTGGGAAACCAGGACCCCAGCCTCATTTCAGAGGAAGGGGATGGCAAGGAGCAAACGGTAGGGGCGATCCAGTCTGTGTTGCATCAGAGTTTTCTTTTGTTTTTTTGTTTTTAATTTTCCGATGAATAATTCAGTGGCTATGCCAAGGTTGAAATATTTTTCTGTTTTCAGTAAGATGTGAGAAAAGGAAATGAATTTTAATGAAATGTTTTGGTTTACTTTATCAGAGGCTTCCAGTATAGTGGGATTCCCACGCCCTGAGCAGATGTCCGCTGTTTCAACCTCTAGCCTGCAAAAGGCAAAAGAGAGCCACGTGGCTGGCCTCTTTACCTGTTTACCTTGTCCTGCTCACCCTCTTGCATCCCCCCATTTCCCAGAGGGGAATTGCTACCTGTGTGCCCCGAGCTGGGGGAGCTTTGAAGCCATGTGAATTTCAGGACACTGACATTACAAGTGGTGATTATGATGTCTTCACTGCCACAGACCATCAGGTCTCCCGAGGTGAGAGCAAAGCACCTGTCCCACGTTCCTGGGGCCTATACCTCCCTGGCCCATCGGGCAGAACAGGCTTTGGCAGGTGGCCCAAATTCTCGGAGCCGACCACTCCCAGGAAGGACTCAAGCATCACACAATTCCGAAAACAGGATTTGAGGGGAGGTGGAGAGATGTGGCAATCTCTCTAAAGAGAAGGCATTGCCGTCAGGTGGAGGTGATGTCACAGACATCGGAGAATATGCCAGAACATGAGCTAATGGATAGCTGCAGGTGCTGGACATGTTTTTAGCAGAAGTTTCTGAACTAAGTCAGCAAGTAACAGACCACATGGACTCTCATTAAATGGGATTACTGATGGGATTCTTCCTAATTCAAGAAAACGCCTGCCTAAAATGAATTGACGTCTACAGATCAATCAAAGGAATGACTGGTTGAGCCCTGAGCACTGTGCTAGTTTGGGGGATGGAGAGGTGAAGGTAACCAACTCCTGCCTGCAAGGGCTTATGAGAATTGCTTGTCGGGGCAGTGACCATGCATGACAAATCAAAGAAACCCCAAACAAAGTCAGCAATCAAGGGCTCCTTACCTGGATTTCCAGCTGCCAGCATCCCTGGGGAGTCATCCTGTCTAGAGACCCAAGCAGGTATCTAAAAAGAGAAAAAGAAGAGTAGCATCAAAAGAACATGGCTATCAAAGATTCCCATTGTCACAGGACCTTATAATAATTCTGGTTTCATATATTCTCCATTTAAGTTTTTCCAATCATCCTATAATCGTATATCATCATTGCCCTGGTAAGAAAAGGGGGAACTATCTTTGTCCTTGTCTTACTGGTAATTTGGAGGAGACACTGGCCTGCCCAGCTTTCCAGGAGCATCTTTGCTCTGTTCTCCTGATTCAGGTGGAGGGTGGGTTTAGCAGGCAGAAAAAGCTGTGAAGTAGAAACTTCTAGTGGAAGCCAATTAGGAGGCTCCCTTTTCTCATTTTCTTTCCCTGGGTCTGACTCCCCAACAACGGAAAGGTCCAGAGGCGGCCAGTGATGGAGGGGATGCCGGGAACACAGCAAGAACAGTGGCTATGTCCACAGGCTTTGCAGATATATTGGAATAGAATATGGAAAAGGGGGGGGGGTCATATAGACCTGGCTCAAGGAATGGATTTGGTCTGGAAAAAAGGATCAACAGAGCAAACAAAGAGCCCCAGTGTGTAGACAGCTGCAGTTAAGGGGTGAATGAATCAATAAAAAACCAGTAGAAAATTAATATAAGCCTGAAAAAGATAACTACTCCTTCTTCCTGCCGTTAGACAGGCTGATTCTAACATTTAGATGGGAAAAGCAAATAAGCTAGCCTGTGCAGAAAAACTGTGAAAAGGGGGTGTGCAATGGGAAGGAAACCCTCCAGATCAAACATACTGCAAAGCCTCAAAAATTAAAATAGTGTGGGAACGGCCGAATAGCCAGACATACCAATGGAAGCATAGAAAATCCAGAAACAGACCCAGCGACATACAGGAATTTGATATCTGATAACAGTGGTGTCTCATTGCAGTGGAGGTAATGTTAACATTTTAATAAATGGTATTAGGACAAATAAACATCCAAAAAAGATATAGCTGGGTCCATACTTCACATTGCACATGATAAGCTCCAAGTGGATCAAAATTTAAATGTGAAAAATGAAATCATATAAGCCTAAGAAGAAAATAAAAAAAAATTTCTTTGAAACCTTGGTGTAGAAGAGGTCTGCCCGTGATTTAAAGAACCAGAGCTGTTACAAAATTATTATATAAGTATAAAAAGCGTCTAGAGAGGGAAAAATAGCACAGCAAAGAGATAAATAACAAATGGAAAAAATATCTGCAACTCATACCTCCCTCCTAGATACAAGGCTCCTAGAAATTGAGAATATGAAAAACCAAAAATCTAACAGAAAACAGGCAAAAGTTTTAAAGAGAGTTCACCACACACATCCACACACACAGACACACATGGCTCATAAAGCATTTATGAAAGATGTTTAACGAAAACGATGCAAATGAACACTATATTGATGTAGCATGTTTCACCCATCAATTTGGAAAAACCTGCAAGTTTGAGAACATACTCTACTGGCAAGGCTGTGGGTAAACTAAGCTGGTGGAAATGCAAAATGGGTCAGCTCTTAAGGGGGGCAATCTGTACTCAAAAGCCTATCAAAATGACTAATGCACTACCTTCCCAGCTCTGGGAACTTCCCCATAGTTGCACATCACGTAAGTATGCGAGAACAAGATTCCTCAAAGCAACAGCATTTGAAAGGAGAAAAAAAAAGGATAAACATCTCAGCTGTCCATCAACAGCAAAGGGGTCAAACCATGGATTATCATATAGCTATTTTTAAAAAACGGGGGCGCCTGGCTAGCTCAGTCAGTGAAGCATGCGACTCTCTTGATCTTAGGGTTGTAGGTTCAAGTCCCACGTTGGGTGTAGAGATGGCTTAAAAATAGAATCTTTAAAAAAAACAAGGGGCTTTTTATGTTCAATTCTCCAAAGTATAGTAAGTGGAGAAAGCAAGTTCTGGAACAGTATGCTACCTTGCCTGAAAGAAAGGGGAAAAACGAGAGTGCATGTATTTGCATAAACAAGACTGGCAGACTACATGGGAAACTAATAAAAGAGATCATAGGGGACACGGAATGGAATAGTCAGAAACAGGAGGACTGAGACCTTTGGTCTGAGTCTGGCCCCCTAAATGAGGGCTATCCCAACCTTCCCAGGAGAACCAAGTAGATTTATTTCAATTAAGAAAATATTTTTTTTAGTCAACAGGAAGAAACTCAAATGACAGCTTGTTCTGAATCTCTACCAACCCCAAATCCTTAGTCTGACTTCTAGCCTCCACTCTGTCAAATCTCAACAAGAAATTCTAAAAAGTCTGGGATTAGTGTTTCCTGAGAAGATAAATTACAGCTGATTTCCAAGTTTAGTTCAGCTATTTGCTTAGTATAAAAGTCCAAACAGATTTCTACAAAACAAACAGTAAGATTGCACCATAACTGTGGGAATATACATACATGTCTCTCATACGTCTGACCTCATCTTATAAATATTTAAAGTAAGACAATCCTTTACGATGCTTTAAAAGGGTATGAGAGATGTATTTGTTCATTCCTTCACTCAGCATCTCCTGAGCGTGCACTGGGCGGAAAGGTCTGTGTCAGACCCGCGGGTCCCTTGCCACTAAGAGAAGCCAAGTCGCTCCGGTAGGCAGCATGACCTTCGTGGAACACTCTGGCTCACTCTCCCTCATATTCTGGGTCGTGGCCACACAGGCCCCCTGTGAATTCTTTGCCCGCACAGTCCCTCTGCTATCTACTCTCCCTAACCGTTGTGTGCCGGAAATGCTCTGCTCCTCGCTGCTTGACAAACTGATCTCTACTCGTCCATCAGGGCTCAGCTCAAGGGCTGGTCACACAAAGCAGATCAGGGGTTGCCAGGAGCTGGGAGAGTGGGGAACCCAAAGTGATTGCTCATGATCCCGGGATTTCTTTTAGGGTTGATGAAAATGTTCTGAAATGAGAGATGATGGTTCCAGAACTCCGTGCAAATACTAAAACCACCGAATCGTACACTTTAAAGGGTGAATTTTGTGGTATGTGGATTATACTCAATATACATATATTTTAAAAGATCCCTTCTTCAGGGAAATCTTTTTGGATCAGATACCCACTACTTCTGAGGACTTGTGATACCTGTTATGGCAGGGATCATAATTATAAAGAGTAATTATGTCACTGGTTATTAAATACAGTGGTGCGCTCAGGGCAAGGTGGTGGGAAGGGTACATTGTAGAGAATTTAAAAGCAATAATAAAACCAACTAAAAGCTGATCTTCTCTTTACAATGCCATGATGTTCTGGCAGTTCTAAATAATGTCGGTGATAAAATACATTCCCCCTCCAAAAAAGGCTTTTTGGTCTACATTCTAAAAGAATCGTAGGGATTACTGTTGAGTTTAGAGATAATGTGTGCAAGCTTCAAACGAACACATTCTTGTTCCTTTAATAAACATTATATTCTACATGGAAGTTAATTCAGAGAATTCCCAATTACCGCCAGTCCCCCGCAGATGAACTCAGCTACAGGGGTTTCTTTTGAGATAAATTTGTCATTGTAACGTAGCAGTGAGACGTGGCTTACTCAGCTGGTGTTTCCAGCCCTGCGCGACTACAAATACGTGCCTTTCAACAGTAGATTCAAAGTAAACACTGATAGCACACTGATTATAATGACGGAAACGGCACTCGAGGTTCTTACTTCTGCCAGTCCATGTAACTACTTGAGTGTTTATTTGTTTTAAAATTTTAAAACCACGGAAACAGGGAGAAGGGAAATTTTCATTGGTGAGTGCAATAGTTCGTACATGAAATATTTTACTGAATTTGATATTGAAATGTATTCTTTTCCAATTGTTGTTTGCTTTAAACTCAAGAACAAATCCAGAAAATAAATGGTCCCATATGGTACTTGCCCAAATTGTACCTTTTACAGTTCGGTTTTATTAAAATTCACTTATTAATTACTGAATAATTACTTACATAAACTAATATTATAGGAGATGGTAACCAAAGGATCAAGGTTTAATCTTAAACAGATATAAAAACAAATAATAATCAGATTAGGTTTTTCCCCTTTTAGGCACAATAATATCTGTTCTATTTTTATTTTTCTTCTTTTTTACTGGCAAGATTGTGCAAACAAATATGCAATGTGAGGAAACTTTTGAAAAGTTATTTATTTATTTATTATTTTTTTAAAGATTTTATTTATTTATTTGACACAGAGAGGGAACACAAGCAGGGGGAGCGGGAGAAGCAGGCTCCCCGCTTAGCAGGGAGCCTGATGCGGGGCTCGATCCCAGGACCCTGGAATCATGACCTGAGCCGAAGGCAGCCACTTAACCAACTGAGCCACCCAGGCGTCCCAGTTTTTTATTTATTTAAGTAATCTCTACACCCAACATGGGGCTCGAACTCACGACCCCGAGATCAAGAGTTGCACACTCTTCCGACTGAGCCAGCCAGGCACCCTGAAGAAATTTTAGATATGAGGAAAGTATCTGCATTTCCTTTCTGGCCATTTTTGTTATTCGTTTCATTTTGTGATTATTGCTGAAAATAATTTAGTCTTGTAGAGGAGGGGAGTATTTTCTAATATGCCTTCTCTATTTGATTAAATTAAATAATAATATTCATGAAGGATATATTGATGAGCTACATATGTTCTTGAATATATTCCTAAATATTTTGAATGTATAATAAGGATATGTATTTTTGAATAATATTCATATTCACTTAAAATATTCAGGAAAAATACTCTTCAATGCAAGGTGTTGGTAAATTGCTAAATTGGGTGAATTAACTCTTTGGTGTCTTAGTCAAAACTAAGATGTAGAAACTGTGAAATAATTTTTCTGTGGTCAGAGCATCTGTAGGAGGAGCTGGAATCTGAACCAGAATCTTCTAACTGGAGAGCCCACTCTCGTAACCATTATACTATATTGCTTCCGCACACACATACTACTGAAACTCAAGTTGCCCATGAAACGCCATCCAAACTGTAACTTCACCAGGAATGCTGCCCAGGTGAAGATGAATAGCCAAGTCTACACAGCTGTGGGTCAGACTCACACTTCAGCCCAATCACCAAGGATTGGGGATCACAAACAGGGAAGTCTTCAAACACCACAGACCCGCTTCTAGAGTGATTCACTGGGTTCCTCTCCTGGGCTAGTTCCTGGACCATAATTACATCATTCCTGCCTCAGGGCCTTTGCACCCACTGTTCTTTTGTCTAGCTTTCCCTCCTGGCTCTTGAAATAACTAATTCTCATGTTACCTCCTCAAAGAAGCCCTCCCTGACTATCGTATCTGAAGTTACCCCTCCAGGTCACTAACCAATCACTAACCACTGCCCCATTTATTTTATAGCATACAGCATTGCTTTTACTCTCCATCTACCTATTTATGGATCTATCTACATCTATCTTTGTTTTTAAATCAAATCAGTGGCTGGCATAATAGGTTCCTAATAAGTATTTATTAAGTTATTGAAAGAACGGCCAAGTGAAAGGATTAGCAATCCTGTGCTAAGAAGGATTCTGAGGTCACATCCAGGCTCAGTGGGACAGAGGACTGTGAGAAACTAGCCACGTCTGCCGTGCACAGGATGCGGGAAGGGGTAGAACACCTATATGTGCGGGGCCTGGATTGCCATATTAGCCAAAACAAGGACAAGCTAGGGCTCTCCCCACATCAGCACCCATCAACCAACACACTGGCACTGACTCCCCCACTGATGGGATCCCTCAGCTCCCTCTCCCTGATTCTTGAGGAAGGACAGTGGGTACAGCACAAGCAGGACACTGCTCGCAGTCGACAAGCCTGATCTCGGAGTCCAGAGGGTAAAGACTTGGATCACGATTCTCACCTTCATGCGGGGACCAGGGGACTTGACTGGTGAGCAAAGCTTCCTCCATACGGTTCAAAGTTCATAGACCAAGACTCTACCAGCTTCCCACTGCCTGAGTCTGAAAGAAAGGAGTTCTTAGAACAGAGGCAAGAGAATAAAACCAGCCCCAGCTGTAGAGGATTCTCTCCTTCCCCTCCCAAGTCATTAACAAAGACTGACACTGTAGTCTTTATCAAAAAATCTTGTTCCCTAAGTGGTGATACAGAATAATTATCTCAGCATGCAATCAGCACAGCGATCTTCTTCAAGGCAATTTGTAAAATTTGTGGCAAGGATATGCATTTTTAAAATAGATTAAACTTTCAAGAGCTCGCCTCTTAAACCTGGTCAGAAAGTATTTACAACTCACCTGGTGGGATGATGCATATCTCCAAGCAGGAATTCTCTTTCATTAGGCCTTGCTTAATTGAATCAGGCAAAGTCATTTTGGGATTGTCCCAAAAGAAAACCTTTTATCTCAAGGCAAATGTGTCTTAACAAGGCCCTCCAGGAAAATAAAGCCAGGTTTCCACAAACCCGAACTCTCTGCTCCTCCTTTCAAAAGCCTACCACCCGACTCCATTTGTTTTTCTTTTAAGTGAGGAAATTGCTTTCGGAGTTAAGTGTTGCCAGTGAAAGCAACAAGTTGGCCTTCCCCTCACTTGGTAACTGTTAAGAAACACCTTGTCTCCTTTCTTTTCTTCCTGCCTCACAATTAAGTTGTGCCTTTGCTGGAATGAGTGTGCTTGCGAAGCAAGGGCTTGCTCAAGGTATGATCAGGAGTCTGATTCAGCCCCCAGTTGATTTCCACTGGGTTGACTCTCGAATTGGACAAATCTTGACTGGATTATGCAAAGATCAAAGACCATGACTCTGCATTCCCCCAAACCTGGTGTAGTAAGAGCCCATCTAGTGTCGACCCTGGGCTTCGCCACCCGGCCGCCAGGACACCTGTGTTCTCCAACATTCATGGGCGCAACTGGGATTCTGGAGGCCTGGGTGGGGAGGCAGGGCTGCCCCCCCCCGGGGGGGGGGCCACCCTCCAGACGGGAGAAACTGGGAAGGGTAACTGCTGTGATAACTACATACTTTAAACAGGAGGGAGCACACTCCACCTCTAACAGCAATCCCCCCAAATCCGAAGCGTGCCTTGAATGGCCTGTTGCCTGCCAGTCACCCGCCGATCAGTCTCCCCTCCCCCTCGCCGGCCTCCCCGCTCCCAGCCCAGAAGCATCTAAGATTTGTCTAGAAAAAGGGACTTGTCTTTCCCCGGCACTTTTCACAGTAGGTTTCCTTGACTCAGCATAAACTCGGGTTCCAGCAAGAATCGGAGGCGGCTGGAGCGGCCTTTCCTCCCCTCCATCATCAGCCGCGCTGCCCTGTCCCCGGAGCGAGCCGGGGCGCATATATCAGATGTCACTCGGGGATGACTAATCGGGGATGCGGATGAGAAGCCTTAGAGCCTGCCGGTAAAGGAGCCCGTGCAAACTTAGAACGAGTCATCTGACAGGTCACGTGGGCGGGGCGCGGCGGGCCCTCTCCCCTCGCCCTGCGGCCCGTGACTCAGAGCGGCACCCGGTCCCCGGTGAAGGGCAGCAGTTACGTAAGCGCCAGCGGGGCCGCGCCGTGCGGCGAGGAGGCCGCGACCCAGACACCTCCTCCCTGCGCTCGGGGGGCCCCAGATGGGGGCCGGGCCCCGCCTCCCCGCCCTCCCGCCCTCCTCCAATTCCCAGGATGGTCCGCGACGCCGCCGACGTTTCCAGAACGCAACAGTGGGCCCCAGGGAAGATTCTCACGCAGCAAACCGCCCCCCCCCCCCCCCCCCCCCCCCCCCCCCCCCGCCCCGCGCCCGAGTGCTAAACCCAGAGCAGACATCCTCCATCCTGGATCCCTCCCCCAGCCCCAAGCCGGCAGGGGTGGGGCGGGGCGGGGCGGAGGCCGGGAGGCCGGAGAGACTTATTCTATTATATAAACTTGTAATTGGCTCTGGCTCCTGCGGGCTCGGGCCACTGGCGCGATGTTTCCAACCAGATGGATTGTGAGGCCGGGCAGCTTCCATTCCCCCTCCTCCCACGTCCCCTCACTGCGCAAGCCCCACCCGTTTGCCTCCCCAAGTCTACCAGAATTTCCCTTTCTTTCCCGTCCTCCCATGTATGACGGATGGCATCCAGAAAGGCACGATTATTTGAAAATGGTATTTAATTATTGAACTAACGTAGGCCCAGCCTGCAAATCAACATGCAGGAGCATCTCACTAACTCAAGTGGAAAATGAGTGATCTTAGCGCAGCGACCAGGCCTCAGACTTTTCTGCATCGGAAGGCCCTGGGGGGCTTGTTAAAACTCAGGGTGCTGAGCCCCACTCCCAGAGTCCTGCTCACTAGGTATGGAGCAGGCGGAGGAATCTGCTTTTCCACAAATTACCAAGAGATGCTGATGCTCGTTGAACCACTCGTACAGACAGGGGCGGGGCTACAATTTATATTGTACATTTTATAATGTACAATTTATAATGTATATTATATTCCTGAACAAGAGGTCAGGAAGACCAACCTCCTCTCAAGGACTCTCTGGCATTTTAGACGTGTTCATTTACAAACAACAAACATGTTCGTTGTAAATCATAACATCCATCCCTGTGCATGATGAAACAACGTTTCACAAGCCCCACAAATTAGCAACCGACGTTGACTCAGTCCAAGAATTTGGAAATCAAGTGTTTTATAGCAGGAGGTGATCTCAGAGACTGGCCAGGCCAAAACCTCATCTAACAGGTGAGAACCGAAGGTCAGCAAGGTTGGTGGGTTGGTGGAGAGAGCTGGGAAGGCCAGCATTCCTGGAAGCAGGTGTAACTATCTGCGTATATTCAGACCCCCAGCTCCACCACTGGTTAGCTGTGCAATCGCAATTTTCTTCTCTTTCCTAATCTGTAAAAAAGGACCAAAGTCTATTTTGCTGCAGCATTGTGAAAATTCTATATAATGTTTAAAACCCGTGTAATTCAGATCAGGCTTGCCCCTGTGTCATACTATGCTATTATTATTTGTGGTCAAGGCCACTGTGCTAATTAGTAGGTGAGCTAGGACTCAAACTCAAGACCCCTGACTTCTAATCCAAAATAATTTTTCCACTGCCCTACTGTGTAGGGAATGTTTCTTTTTTTAAAGATTTATTTATTTGAGAGAGAGAGTGAGAGAGAGAGCACAGCAGGGTGGGGGAGAGGCAGAGGGAGAAACAGACTCCCCGCTGAGCAGGGAGCTGGATGAGAATGTGGGACTCAACCCCAGGACCCTGGGATCATGTCCTAAGCCAAAGACAGATGCTTTACCAACTGAGCCAGCCAGATGCCCCTGTAGGGAATGTTTCTTTAAAAAACTATGTGCCTGTGGTACTTAACCTCAATCATTCCTCTGATGCTGGAGCATTTTCTCCTAATTAGTGCAAATAGTTGAAGTGTGTTGGACTTTCTGGTTGTATATGAGCCTGATAGAAGTAACAGTCACAGCCCAAGAACCAGGAGGATTCAAGATGCCCTCTAGAGCTTTTGTGAAATACATACCCTGAATTGACTTACTCCATTTCTCCCTGCCTTTTTTTTTTTTTAAAGATTTTATTTATTTGACAGAGAGAGACACAGTGAGAGAGGGAACACAAGCAGGGGGAGTGGGAGAGAGAGAAGCAGGCTTCCCGCAGAGCGGGGAGTCCGATGCGGGGCTCGATCCCAGGACCCCGGGATCATGACCTGAGCCGAAGGCAGACGCCCAACCACTGAGCCACCCAGGCGCCCCTCTCCCTGCTTTTTGAAACTGATATCTTTAACTGTCGGGGACCGGGGGCAAGTGTTAGCTAAGTGACTCTTACCATTGCCCCACCATAGGGCAAATATCCCTAGGACTAAAGAATCTTTGAAACTTCAGGCTGGAGCTTAATATTGCCCACTCTGAATCCCTGAACAGGTGAGATTAGTGCCTAAATCACTTTCTCTGTGTTATTAGCGAACAGGCCTGCTAGTCACACCTTTGCACCTGCTTTTACCAAGCCCTTGGAGAGACCCCCTGCCGCTCAGAGTAACAGATCCTAAAGGGTTGGGGGAGGGAGGAAAAGCAGTCAGATAATCAGGGTGACTAATTGGATCTATAGAACCCAACGTGGCACAGAGCGCCATCGTGGGTACATGAGTATGTGGCATTCACATTCCCTCAAGAAATGAGATGCTAAATTGCTAATAGCCTCCCTGGGGTTCGGTTCCCTGCTGCGAGCCTTCTAGATTTTGTAGGAGTTTAGGCGCATTAAAATATCACAGCGTATGCTCACATGCGAGGCATTCACTCATGTCCTTGACATTGATGCTGAAATTCCATAAGGAAGAAAAACCTCTTTTCCATGTAATCCGACTGCAAGATGGTATCAACAGGCACTTCCAAATGAGATCACGGTTACCCGTAAGCACCATGGGACATCTGAAGCTTCCAAAGTTGTTATAGTGACACACAGAACAAGTTTTGAGCCGGCGATTTTAATTCTTAGAATTTGTGCTTTTTCCACATTGTTTCCTTTCCTCAGCTCTCCAGACTGGCTCTGATTTGGCCTTCAGTTTGATTTCATCATTGCTCTTATTTTTAATTCTTCTCTCTCCCTCACCCCCATCTTAGACTTACTTGGCCTTTAAGATGGTGACTTTCCACTTCGGTTCCCAAGTTGGATTATGAAATCAAGTTGTTTTAAAATCCAGTTGGGCACACCAAGATTTGTGTGTCTAATGCGTGTCTTCAGGTAGGTGGCGTCTGTAACTAGATAGGGATCTGTTTTAAATCAATAAGCTGGTCTGAATATTTATTCTGAATTTTCTCAAGTTATTGTCCTAAAGCGGTCACTTATTTTCTCTTTTCACCTTGATATTTCCCTCTTCAGTCAGTAACTTTTGTAGCCTGTCCTTAGGCTCTTTGACAGAAAGATTTTGATTTACCTGACCTTTTACAAATTCAAGAGCACAGTTCATATTTCTTAGTATTTGCAAGTGAAGTTTTGATTGTTTTTGTGACAATTATTGATATATGTAATATACCCAGACCTGTCATTTACAGATGCATCCAGAGGGGCAGAGTTGATATAAAACTAAAATAATCACTCATTTGGCTCCCTTTAAAAGTTGTAGCATGGTTGTTCCCCTTGGGTTAGGCACTTAGGTGTTAAATTTTTTTTTTTTTTTTTTAAATGCAGCAAGCTTACTGAGAACCTATGTGTCAGGGAATCTGGTGATGGTGGCAAAATGTAAACAGATTTGATCCATTGTACCACAGTGGGAAGCAAAGTCAGGGGCTCTGGAAGCCTGAGGAAGGGCATCTGACCTGCATTTGGGAGGCCAGGATGGCTTCCCAAATTTATGCTGAGCCCCAAATGAAGAGACAAGGGAAGCTGCGATCAGGCCAATCCCAGGGTGAGTATGTTTGACTCAAGTCAGGGGTCTTGAGTTTGAGTCCTAGCTCACCTACTAATTAGCACAGTGGCCTTGACCATAAATAATAATAGCATAATATGACACAGGAACACCTCTTCTGAGTGTTACCAGAAAAAGAAGAGGTTGATGGACAGAAAAGTGGGTCAGTGAATTAAGATGGTGCTTGCAAGCATCTGTTATATAGGTTAAGATCTTGTTTGTCTACAAATAACAAAGATTTAAAAACTAGTATTTGAAACAGGTAGAAGTTCGTCTCTCACACATAAACAAAAGCCAGAGGTGATATGGAGGCCCTATAATGCCCTCCACCCAAGGTCCTTCTATCTTGTGGCTGCCATGCATGATTTCTTGGTCCAGTATGGCTGCAGGAGCTCCAGCCATGACATCTTCATTCCAGGCAGCAGCAAAAAAGGTGGAGGGGAAGGAAGGAAGGCCTTCTCCTTCAAGAGGATCAAATTTTATCACATTGTTCCACCTAGCTACAAGAGGGGCTAGAGAGTAAGGCCTTTAATTCTATGGCAATATGCCCAAGTGAAGTCAGCACTGTTAGTAAGGAAGAAGGGGAGGTATTGGGAAGCAACCAGCTGTCTCTGCCAGAGTGGTAATTGTGGGTGGAGAGAAGGCTGTGTGAGCAAAGGAGGGAAAGAAAGCTTATCTTGTTTCAGGGAATAGATAAAGATAAGTAGGTCAATTTGGCTTAGAGTTAGGTTTGCCAAGAGATAAGGCTGGAGAAATAAACAGATGCTAGGTCGTGGGAGGTCTTATTAGCTGTGCACTGCTTAGAAGCTGGAGCGTTATCCTGAGGACCATGGGGAGCTGTTGAAGGAATTCATCCTTGAGGTAGAGGGTGAGATGCACTGGGAGGTGAGGACAGGGGCATCATTAAGAGGTGACAACCTTTCAGGAGAAACTATAACAGCATGAACTAGGCAGTGGCATCAAGGATGGGGAGACACAAACAGATTTTAAAAGATATTAGAGAGGTAGAACTGGTCAGTTG